GCGTTCAGGCTTGTCGTGCTGGAGGCGAGGGAGCAGATTCTCTTGCTGGTGAGGTGAGTGATGGTGGGAACACCCTGGTGGATGAAGTGGAGCCGCCCGTCTTAGCTGCTTTTTGCGCCATCTCCTTTTTGGCACCTTTCGGGGAGCACATGTGCGATGCTTGCGTTTGCAGCCACGAGCAGCAGGTCGGCTCCGGGGAGCCACGGATTTGTCAGCAAGGGCAGAGGTGGGTGCCCTTTTGCGGAGCTTCCTCAGGAGGGGGGTGCAAGTGCGGTCGGGCGTTCTGAGTTGCGGTTCCATGCATGTGGGCCCCAGCAGGGCAGACCCGCTGTCCCGCTGTGTATCAGGGGAGGTGAGTGTGTCAGCTCTGTGTTTCAGGCGTTCCCAGAACCTCTGGCATATCTCCTCAAATTTTGCGTTGAAGTGTTCTCTCCACTCCAGGCCCGTTTGGTGTGTTTGAGGTTTGTGCATGGTGCCCATCTTGGTCGCGCCACGCTGCTTGTACGTCTGCTGGAGTCTCCTGCTCAGTGGGATAAAATTTGCCCAGTGGGGACCAGGATATCCCCCGCCGGTCCAAGGAGATCGGCCGCCTCTCGCCGTTGCCCGTGTGCCAGCCCAGTAGGCCTCAAAAATGACGGTCGTGAATGCTGGTAAGCAGGGTGTCCTGTGCCAGATTTTTCAAGATGCTCGGTTCTAGATAGCCGCTTACATGCATTTTGGGTCGTCTGGTGTCAGAATGTCAGCTTTAGTCATTGATTTATGGCACCAGGTGCCGGGAGCTAGTGGAAAGCACGTCTGGCCATCTTGGATGTCAGGCCCCGCCCCATAATTTTATAGTTATATACCATCTACACTATGTTTGATTATCTTTTTTAGATATTTACTTATTCGACATTTAAACGAGAATCTATCTTCCAATGGAATATTGAAAGGTGATTATTTGTCTATCTTATAAGCGCTACATTTTTTAAAGAATTGTTTATTTTTCCTGTTAGAGGACTGTACCCTACCACCGCACTAAGACACTCCTCTCCCTACCAGACCACGAGGATGGAAGCCTGCTCCACCGCAGCAACGAACAGCGCAGTGGGAACACATCCAGCCTCAGCAAGGCATCGGATGATCCAACAGGACTGGGACTTAAAAATCAGACAAAGTGCCAAATGTCTCCTAACTTTCACTGCCCTAGTTGAACTCTCCCATATGATTGATTATTTTTATCACTTATTGGCTTTCTTTGGTCATCAGTCTACACCCTTCATATAGTCAATCAGTGTAACTCTTATCTTATGTCGCTTTGTCTCTCCGCTGAGTACTTTTCCTTGTTTATTTATTTTTTTTACTTATACAATTGAAAAAGTGCAGTTTAGCTACTAAACCCTTAACATAAAATACCATGCTGTTCACTCAAACTGTAACGTAGGGGCAGGGGCGTACCTAGAGCATTTGGCACCCGGGGCGGGTCCTATTTTTGGCACCCCCCCCTTGCTCCCCCCCTCAACTTTAAATATAAAAACAACTAAAAAATGTTTTAATGTATTTAGCACTAAGCAGTGTTTGTGTTTTTGAATGTATGCATGTTTTTGTATGGAGTATATGTGAGTGAATGTAGCTGTGTGTTTGTATGTAGTGTTGGCGTTTGAATGCAAGCATGCATTTGTGTGTTGTGTGGTATTTGAATGCAGTGGTATGGTTATATATAATGGTGGGGTTTGTATGTAGTGTTGACGTTGAAATGCAAGAGTGTATTTGTGTGTAGTGTTGGCGAGATTTTTATATGTCTGCACATATACACATACACGGACATACACACACAAACACAGTCACACACAGATACACATTGACACACATGCAGACATCGTGGTGACTCTAGGAACAATATATATGGGGGGGCACATAAGATACCACAGTCAAAACAGGAGGGGGAGGTGGAGCAGTAAAACTTCTCACTAGGGGATGGGGTAATATGCTGCCATTGGCTGTCTGATGCCAGCATGCTGGCATCTGATTACACATTTGCATATAATTCACATTAGCCACCCAGATTTCTTGTTATGGGCTGGCTGACACCTCTTAATTTCAATCTTTGTTTAGCAGATAACTCCTCTATTTGCTATCCTTTGTGGGATTGCCATATTTAAGGACACCAAATAAGGTGCTATCTGCTAAACAGCACCCTCATTTGGTATCTTTAAATATGGAAATCTCACATATGGGCACCAATTCAGGGAATGATCTACTAAACAGCTAAAGGATAAAACAATTGCCATTTTTTTATTTTCAGTTGTTTAGTAGATAAATCCCTTATGTTATCTTTATGTGGGATTGCAATATTTGAGGACAGGAAATAAGGGAGCTATCTACTAAACACATACGCAGAGATACACACAATCACACACATAATCACAGCTATACACAAGCACAATCACTGACCCACACACAAACATTACATACATACACACATTTAATAATTAAGAGGTCCACCCAGCCTCCCTACCTTGCTCTAGAAGGGCTGGAGTGGATCCTCAGTCCCTGGTGGTCAGTGGTTGCTGCTGGGATCTCTCGCACGCACGCCCTGTAATGACGCCGAGGCCGCGATGACATCATATCCTGGCTGCTGCTCATTGCAGGGCGAAGACCGTAAGACACAGTCAGATGCACACAGTCCCACACACAGTCACTCACACACAGTTACAGGCAGACAGTCAAATATGCAGGCAATCACACAGGCAGACAGTCACACACACAATCACAGACAGTCGCACATACACACAACACAGTCACAGTCACACACACAATCACAGGCAGACAGTCACACACACACACACACACACACCCACAATCACAGGCAGACAGTCACACACACACACACACACAGAGTAACACAGACAATCACAGGCAGACAGTCCCACACACACAGTGACACACAGACAGTGACACACACAATCACAGGCAGACAGTCATACATACACATAACACAATCACAGACAGTCACACACATACACAATCAGTCAGAGAGTCACACACAC